GGGATGGAGGCGCGGACGGAAGTGGTGAATAATAAACTAATGGGGGCGGGCCACGTGCGGACTCACCGCTCTCACCTCCTGCTGCTGTGCGGCCCGGTTCCTAACAGGACACGGGCCGGTATCGGTCCGTGGGTTTAAATTTTCAGTTTCATTTATTTGGTATAACCCGGTGAGCCATTCGGCTCTTGAATCGGGTGCAACCGCAACAAACAAAAACATGAACAAGAAAACATCTTAAAGTGACTATGCGCAAACAGAAAAATCCAGGAAAAAACTGTGTGCAAAAATCCCAGTGGGTTGGGGACCCCTGCTCTTGAGCACCCGAGTAGGGTATTTGGTCTACTCTTCCACGCTCGCAGATGTTTTGTAAGAGGTAGTAGTACCCACAATATATGCCACCACATGTCACCTGCCGGCTGTACCCATTTAAACTGCTGGATGGACAGAGGTGGGGGGGGTGGGAATGTTTCCCATAATTGCTTCACGCTTGAATATGAATTATGTGGCTATACGTCTACTCTCCTCTCCATTCTTATTGTTAAAAGCTGGTGTCACCAGAACAATGGATCCATATCTGAGTAACCCTCAACAATCGTAACCTGTGCCCCACACCCAAACCCAATGCTCTAGGAATATCCCCCCCACTTCTCGTATAAGATCAAACACAAAGATCCCCCGTATAGCCTTAACAGACTGTAGGGGCAAGTGCTGTTAGCGAGCACCTATGAAGGCCGGAACGGTACACGAGGGGGTGGGTGGCCAGCACCACGCCCGACCGCCTTTGTCTCCCCAGTGCCGATGTTTACACACCGCACCGGGTACTCATTTGAGGCTGAATAGACCTAGGGGAGGCCCAGGACCGGTTCAGATAATCGTCACTGGTGCTGGCCGTGAGCGGGAATCGAACTAGGGGTCGCCGGGTTCAGGGCGCAGCGCGCTAACCACTACACTACCGCTCCCCACCCGTATAAGATCACCCCCCAGCTAACATGGGGAGCTCATCAACCTTTTACATAACCGCCACCTCTACTCCTCCCCACCTCACCTCACCTCTACCCCCCTTCTCACCCCCATACCCTTCCCCCACCCCCCTCCAAACGAGTGCAAGAAACATAACACATTCCTGCGGAGGGAGCTGGTAGGAACGTTGGGTTGCTCGGTCAATGGTCAGGGTCAACGGCGGCGTGGTGTATTCCGCAAATATTCCCGACTGTGAGGGCGGGCACAAGCCGGCGTGAGTAGGTAACACGTTGAGTTTTATAAGGGCACCACGGGGTGACCAGCCCCTCCCCACACAGCCCCTCTCCACCCGCCCCACCCAGCCCCTCTCCACCCAGCCCCACCCAGCCCCTCCCCACCCAGCCCCTCCCTCCCCACCCAGCCCCTCCCTGCACGACGGACGGACACAATAATCCCCTGTGGGCTGGTGTAACCAGAAGGTTCCTACCAGTGAAACCATCCCTGTGGGTTCCCATCAATCGACTCTTGAGCCCAACGAAACAATGATGTGAATTGTTGCAAAGGTACAATGTTTTTTGACAATGGAAACAAATAAACGTTTAAAACAACAAAAAAGCTGGCGTTTGTCACGTTGGCTTTGTATTCGACACTGAAAGTCGTCACACCAGTGATTACAAAGTGCTGCGTCCAAGCGTGATGTGTCAGTGCTGAATTATTAAACCCCATCATTTGATACCACAAACATGGGTTCCTCCCGAACTGCTTTGCCAGTGGAATAATTACATTTGCGTTATGTTCACCTTATGACATTATATTCCTGTGAAGCCATGACCTTAATATTTGGAGTACAAAAAAGTTTTTATTTTAATACACTGTGTATGGCACATTTGTACCAATATTTAAGAATAAAATAGTTTGAATTTACAGCCCTTTTGTCAATCCACTGTTGGATGAATGCATTGGCACACCGTGTTGGTGAATGGGGGATGTTTGACCATACTTCAGGACGCTGGTCAGTGTAGGTTGGTGAAGGTGGTTGACCCCTGGACTGGTTCAGATATCATTTGCCAATGTTGTTAGCCCTGGCCAGGATTCTTATAAAAAAAGTTTAAAATTAAAATTAAATTTAACTTTTACTTTACCAGGTAAGGCCCACTGAACTATACAGTCCTTTTTCAGAAGCAACCTGGCCACAAATGAGAGCCCAACGCTGTGGCTTATCATGTGGAAATGTATAGCAACCAACTACTCTTAAGCGAATGTCCATAAATGTGGAGGGAACAACCGGAGGACCCGGAGAAAAAACCACGCGACCATGGAGAGAACATGGAAACTCCATATATACAGGCGCCAGGGTCGGGATCGAACCCACGACCTGCTGCATACCTGGCAAGGAGGTTAACATCTCGCCACCGTGGCACCAACCCCAGGTCTTCGGGCTTCATCGCGCGGCCCACTATGTGTGTGTGCCGAACTTCTTTCACACCCTACGTAGCCAAACCATGCAAATCGGAGGTGCACTAACCAGTGCGCCACCTTTCCACCCACAATTTCCATTTCTCACCTCGTGAATTGTAGATCGTATCCCTGAGTAGTTGTACATGTCTGTAGGATGTTGCATAACTAACTGGCTTTCAAAAAATGGGCAGGTTACATCCAGGCTTCCAAACACTAGCCTCAGTTATTTTGAAGAATGACACAAACACAAAATACGCACGTCCATTATGCCTTAACAACAGCTTTGACGGATCACATTGTGCAATATTTGTGGGAAAATGTTTGCTTTGCAAGGTTACGTTTAAAAGTCACTCCTTCCCGCGAATCACAGTAGCTACTTGTTTAAAGAGCATGCGTTAAAAGTTGGTGTGGGGAATACTTAACGGCTTGGCATACGCCCATACTTTTAAGCCTGGTATATGCCAATACTTTTAAGCCGAGTATACGCCCTTTTAAACTCTTATGCTGAAATCACAACATTAACTTTTTTTAATCTCTTGAACAATAAACAAAGCACTCAATAGTGTGTGGTTGAAATCTACAATGAATTTGCATGGCATGTGACATTGAGTTACGATACTTTCTATCAATGCTACCTCACCAAAATTTGCAAACGAGAAGTTAAATATTAACTAATGGTAATATTAACATTTATTTTAAAGACTGTTTGCTCTCCTTCAAGGCCTGATGGCAATAATACGGGACAGCATTTTTGAGGCATTTCCCACTGTTTTAAGTTAACTTGCAACACCAGTCAAATAACGCCAATTTATCTAATTTCCCTACAACTGCAAAACACAACACAAATAACCCACACTATGTTTTTGTTCTGCCTAGGGGAGGAGCAACGTAGCCACAGTATGTTGTGAACATTCTTGAATAAAGAGCTCTAATTATAAATGTAAGTGGTACAAAAAGTTGTGAGCATCATCGAAAAGGAGATGTCAGCAACCATTAGCAATGTATGTATGTTGAACTTCTTTCACACCGTACGCAGCCAACCGTGATAATAGGAGGTGCATGAATCAGCTACTTATAGTACACGTTGATGATACTCAAACTCTCAGGAAAAACATTGTTTTGTTTGATTTGTCCCTTACAGTATTTATACTTCGTCTATTGCAAGGTGCAGTGGTGACACATGGGTTATAGTACTATGCTGCTATGTATGTATGTTGAACTTCTTTCGCACCGTACTTAATCAACCGCGTTAATCTGAGGTGCGGGGGAAGAACCCAATGACCTTGCGTTCGAAGCCAGGCCATGGCTAACATCACCGGAAAGTGATATCTGAACCGGTCATGTGGCCCACTTCACCAACCCACACTGACCAGGAGAGGTGAAATATGGTGAAACAACCCCGATGATGGAAACAGCATGGGGAGGCCTTCAACCAGCAGTGGTTTAACATGACGGATCTTCAAAACAACGAAAATCAAGCAACATGCTGTCATTGCATATTTTACACAAGTTTAAGCGGCGATTCATTCCCAGGAATGAGACCCATATTTTACCATTCTGGCCCCGAGTGCAATCACAGTACATGCAGTGGAAACATTAAACTTCTCAAATAACCAAATAAACTCAAGTCAGAGTGATCTGCGGTCAACATCATGTGCACAATTGTTTGGCGGTTATTGACTTTTCATGCCTCACAGGGAGACAACTACAGGTCAATATTATGGAGACTTACTGCACCGACTGCTCTAGTGAATTAAAAAGCCCCTTCTACAGATGAAGGGCACACCCCTTGCTTCTGCATAACAATGCCCCAGCACACAGAGAGATAGTCTCGGATTCCGATTCCGGTAAGGAATGCCACTTCGAGAAACTTCCGCATATGCGGCCTCTCCTCCAGGCAGGGCACACAACGGCCTCCACGTGTTTTCCAAACGGCAGGGAACACCTTTGTGTAGAGAGAGTGTTGTGAGAATGACGAAGAGCTGAAGGAGACTGTAACAGGGGAACCTGAATGGTTATTGAAAAATAATACTATTATCGTTCTTCATTGTGCGTGCAATTTACTTTCGATATGAGTCGTAGATCCGCTTGTACCACGTGCATGCGGCAGGGTGCGGCAGTGGTAACAATCGTGCCTCATAGCAAGAAGGACCTGGGTTCGATTCCCGACTTGGGCACCTTTAGTGTGGAGTGTCTATGTTCTCCCCCTGTTTGCATGGGTTTCCTCCGGTTTCCTCCCATAGCTAAAAATCTAACCTAGAATTGGTATTAGCCAAAACATCCCAATGCTGAACGAGCACCTTCAAATTGCTCGAATTGAGATTACACGCAGCAGCAGCAGCAGCAACATCCCTCCACCCGCAACCACTGCAACAAAATAAAAAAAAACTTGGCAAGACCCTCCTAAAAAAACCCAGCCTAGAGACTCATTTCGGCTTCCCTTGGCAAACAAGAGTCGTGGAAGCATTCAGGAATGACTGTGGGCGGGACCTGCCGATGTTGCCCCTGGCAGCTGAGAGAGGAGGAGGATGAGGTGGTGGGGGCGGATGCGTATGCTTGCTTCGGCATTGTGCAACGGCACTTTTGCAAGGGCGACCACACAGGTGGAACAGGTCGGACGGCGTGAGCAACACACCCAGCTTATAAGAGAGAGAGAGAGAGAGGGGAGGGGGACGCTTGGCTCAGGATTCGGAGAGGGCTTGTTGGCTCAGGATTCGTAGAGGGCTCTCTTCCTTGCCAGCCACACGGTAAAGTCGGCGGTCCCATCTACCTGCGTCTGAGCGGCTTCTTGTATCGCCAAAGTGCCTTACCGCACACGGAGGCCCTCTCGCTCCTCTCGCTCGCTCGCAGCTCAATAATCACCTGCAGCAGTTGCAATTCGCAGGGCTCGTGAGGAAGAAGAAGAAGTCGGCCATGGATGCACCTCCACCTGTCCACACCACTGGCCCCTCACCTGGGGATATCTATGGCCAGGCCTCCATCTCGCCCAACCTCCCGCTCGGTGCGGATCTCTGTCGGAGGCTGTCGGGGATTCTCATCATGCCAGAGCTGGTGGGTAAAGGAGTTGAGGGATCGTGTTTGCGTTTGCACGGGGGGGATGGGGGTGTGCTGCGTGAACGATTCACCTGTATGGGTGTTGTGGCTTCTTCCTGCCCATTTGTGGGGATCATGGTTCGTGTGTTCGCTGCTTTTTGGTTATTGCAATCTGTACGTAACGAGAAGCCTTCACCTGCCTCCCTCGCTCGCTCGCATCACGACGGATGTGATGGTTTTAATGTATTGCACACGGATGTAACGTATGCAATTTAAGAACAAACACTCCCCTTGAACACTTGGTTTTTAAAACGAGGTTCAAATATGCGCATAACTTTTTAAGGGAGTCGTACGATTTATGACATTGATAATATCGCACTGGCAATGAACACTGCTGGGGCAATACCTCGTCAGGAAATTGTCATTCACACCGCGACAGCCGTTACCTTCGCCGCATTGGGTGACCGCGAACAATGTCAACGTTTTTTTTTGTGTGTTCTTTACACGACACGTTTAATGTTCATATAAAATATGATCAAAGTAAAAAAATAACCCATGGTCTTTTTTTTATTCAGTTTTTTCTAAAACCAAAGCATAAAAGTTGCAGCATCCCCAACCAACCCCCCATCTCGTTTACTGTCGTTGAGCAAGGAGTAACCACAAACCACACCCAAGCCTCGTCGTTTAACCCTTTTGCCAGCAATGGAACATGAAAACTGACTTGTTGCTGAAGGTGAAACGGCACACAGTTGGCAGAGGCTTACTTTGGAAATGATGCAAGAAGAAGGGCAATGGGTGAAAACGGTATAAAGATGACTGATGCTCTGTGAGGCTAAGGTGTGGCTTTTTTGTTCACCTTTTGCCTTAATTTAAAGGGGGGTACCTTTTCCCATTTAACCATGGCTATAGATACATGTGAAGCACCGCATTTTCTCGCAAGAAAAGGGCGAAGTTAACTCGAGTGAGCTCCACAGAGCCTCTCTAACGGTTATTTGGCCTACTCTTTCATGCCCACGCTTTGCCTACATATTGCAACTATTTACAAAGCATGTAGACAATGCATATATTATCAGTGTTTTTTTGTTTGCATTCTAACCACAAGCATTGTGGTTAATGCAGACGTGATTCCTTGTAAAATATTTCAGTTTGGTGTTTTAACATCTTAACACCTGTTTTGTTGCCAGAAAAAAGTGGAAAAACCTATTATCATGCGCTTTTTGTTGACAATTTGAGTGTCCTCCTGTTTTGGGTCAACCTTAAATACTGCACACCATAAACAAGGCTATGCATATGGAAATGCATCGCTGATTGTTGGAGAAAACTATTTTCTCTAGGATTGTCATAAAAGCTGGCCTTATACTAAGGATTTCAGATTAGCCAACAAAGCACAGAAACCTTTGAGTATTCTTGTTGTGCTTGGTAACGCTCATGGCAACATTTAAATCTCTGCATATTGCTGTATAGGTGGACAACATTGGCATAGGGTAATGTCTGCATGGGCATCATTGGTGAAATTGACTGCTGTCTGTAATGTTGAACGGTGAGCACTTGCCAGCTAGGCAATGACACAGCATAGGTACATTTTGTAACTTGAAATTATACTGTATATCATTACATCAGTGGTGACTTCATGATCTAAGCCTACGTTAACCATATGCTTAGTGTGTTGAAAAGGCACATACCTGCCCGGGTGTTCCTGTGATTAGATGGTGCTTAACTTGCAATCGTCTGATTTGCGGGTTAAATTCCTGGTTGGGTGTGGACTTAGATCATTATCTATGACCATTAAACAATTGCCAGATAATTCAGTGGTGGTTGTCACTGTCTTATTGAGAAACACCGGCACTTGTCACGATTATGTGGAATTTCCTCCGCTGGCTCAAACGCCACCAAAGGTGATGGTATCGGTATCGTCCGATTGCACGTCAGAACACGGGCACACTTAGGTAAAAAAAAAGTTTGTCTACTCGGAAATACTTTAAATGTATTTTATTAGCCATGACTGATGGAGAGCTTAGTTCAGTTGCAGAAAAAGAGCACTGGTGATCATTTGTTTAATGTCCTTACAAAGTTCATTTCACAACTCGCAGTAGAATCGTTTTTTGGTGCATTTTTAGAGAGGAAGAACACTCTGGAACTCTTTGTTTAGACAAACGGATAAAAACAACTGAGCTATAGAGGGGGACAAAACACCTTTTAGGGTGGCGTGCATTTATCTGGAGTGCAAGGTTCACTTTTAGGAATCCCACTCTAACCCCTACTGTACACTATAGACTTTGCCAACAAGCTGTCTATCAGTAGACTTTGTAAGGCAAATCACCTCGACCATTAACATTATATAATGGTTCCCAACTTGAACACCTGCCTGAGGGTTTGTATGTTCTCCCCTTGTTCGGCATGAGTTGTCTCCAGGTTTGCAATGTTTTTGACCAAAAAAACCCGACGATGTAGCTGATATTTTATTGGCCAAACGTCCTAATGCTGAACAATTACCAACACATAACTCAAGTGGGATTACACGTGACAACATCGCCCCCTTACTGCAAATAAATGTCAGAACCCGACTTAAAATTATATCTTGAGACTCGGTGGGGATTTCCTCGAGAGAACCACACAATGCTCATCAGTGGGTTTTCATGACCCTTGTGAGATACTGACTTCCTGCACTCATCGTATTGACCCCAGAGATGATGGCCTTAGCCGACCTATATCTGTAATATGAACTCTCAAATGAGATGGCCATTGTAGAGGGTTGTCCCGCCTGTTCTGGTGTTCCCAGAATCATTATCTTTTATTTAAGGCCGCTTTGCTGATGAATCTGTAAGTCTTCCCAGGGCGATAGCAATCTCAGTTATTGTCAATTGCATAAGAATACACCACTCAGGATAATGCATTTACACGACATGTAATTATCCCCATTTCTGGTATTGTGAGATATTATTCTGCCCATGATATGTCCAGATTTTTGGTACCCCAAAGGTAGCAACACTTGCGCCCTACCACATTGCCACTGAGCTTGACTACAGAAAGATAAATGCCTTTTGTATAAAATACAGGAAATTGAACTGAGCAACTAGGCATGCATTTTAAATAAAAATAAAGCAATTATTTTAAAGCAGAAAAACATCCATCCACGAGGTATGACAACAAAGTAATAATACGTAACATATCATATAATTTCCTGCTAAACTTTGACCCCATATCGGGAGGAAAGGGTCGTTACCTATAAGATGGGCAGTTCACCAGCATCGAATTTGGCATGCCGGAGTGCTGATGAGATACCGATGTCAAACCCGGTCCAGCGTTTGGTGCTCCAATGCGGCTGAAATGATGCACTCCCGGAAGGCCATGTGGCTGATGGTTTGTGTAATAAATACGAGAGTTGGATATGTGAATTAGGAATGAGGCTTGTGAGAACAGCCTCAGGATGCTTTTAAAATAGAATGAAATTCTCTAAACAGGTGCTAGGGAGTGCCGCTGGTCACCCTCCTAATTGTTTTAACATTTCTCAATTGCAGTAAAGAGCAGGTTGAATGTCAAACCCCGGCGAAATACACGTAAATAAATATATAAATATATTCTCCTTCAATGCCAGTATAAGACGCAATTGTTCAATGAGCACAATCGACTTGAGTTATTTCGCCAATAGATTTCCTGCAAAGATGAAAGGAAAGCTTCCCTTTTAAAGAAAAAGCCTGTTTTGATTTATATTGCATGCTGAAGTACAGTGTGATGTACCTGTCTGACTGGATGAACATTACATTTTCTGTTGTCAATATGGGCTGCGTTCCCATCGGTTGTCAATTATATTTACTCTACAGTTTCTTTCCACCCTCATCCTTAAGCATACATCTGTCTGGCGGTTACAACTACTGTACATCTGTTCAGAAATGTACTGTGCAGGTACAAATCTACAGTGCAATGATATTAGATTGTAATATAAATGATAATTAATGGGTTTACGATTTGAGCTCTCAGCATGGAAATTCAGAGTTTGCCCTCTGCCATAATCAGTTGCATATCTCATCCTCATCATCGGCATTGATCTTTCTCATGCTGGATGAAGGCTATACCCCAAGCCATCGGCTTTTTTGATGACCTTGTGATGCAGCAATAAGCCATCTCCAGTAGCTCCTGCACGAGAGTTAATCTCACCGCTCCTCCGTCAGTCGTGAACATCTTCTCGGCCGCATATCCTCATTTAGCTGCCTGTGCATTGTTAGTTTCAACTAACAGCCATCATCCCTTCTCGCATGTATCCTACTACTATTACTACGACTAATACTATTTGTTATTTTACCAGGTAAGGCCCACCGAGCTTCATAACTATTTTTCAGAATCGCCCTGGCCACACATGATAGCTTAACGAAGTGTCTTATGTGGCAATTTATAGCAGCCAAAAACTCAAAATGTAGAAGGAAACACCAGTGGACCCGGATAAAAATCAAAGCGACCAATGGGAGTACACGCAAACTACAAATATCCAGGCATCAGGGTCAGGATCGAACCCCCACCGCCTCCTGTATACCAGGCGAGGTAGTTAACATCTTGCCATCGTGGTGCCACTTGGAGGCAACAAAACAGCAATGCAATGATTTCCTCATCGCTGATGGAAGGACCCCCCCCACCTGAAGCGAGCTCCAGAGAGCCCTTCTTCACAGCGAATTTTGGCCTCCACTTCCAAGCTGGCCAAATGCTTTGAAAGAGGTACGAGTACCCACACTTTACCCCACCACCAGACATGACCTGCCAAGCAACTGTGGTGTTCCCATTTTATAGTGCAGGGTGGAAAGAGTTGCAGCGATTTAAGAAATCTCCCACAGTCCAGTGCTGCCCATTTTCATAAACTTTCAATACGATGTATAATTTGTATATGTTGTCTTAACCATGTTCTCTTTGTTTTTGTGTAATTCAAAGCATGCACCTCCTCCATGCTTCTTTGCATACTTTTCATGCGTTGGTTCTATTTTCTGACTCATGTTTGTGATGCATATCTGGAGGTACAAATTCCGTGGTTTATTTTAAGATGTATTGGATTTGAATTGCCATTCTCAATGGTTTTGTTTTCATTTTTTCTGCCTCTCCATTTTCATAACAACACTGAGTGGGAACATATGGTCCAACAACCCTCATGGCTGACACGGTGTTGTGGCAAGGCCTTCATGGGTAGAACACAGACTGTAAATAATAGTATTTTTTTAAATAGCAATTGTGCTAACCGCATCAGTTAATGAGATGAAGAAGTCCATTCGGAACTGTCACACCCCAAGCTCTTGATTGGAGAATAAGAATTTGCATTTACAGGTGAGGGTACACAAATGTCCCGGTTACGCAAAGAGCCTTTCACCACATCTCACCCAAGGTGACCAACAGTGGCAGCTGTCCCTGTGGTAGACGGCATGCACAGCACCGGCCTACAAATGGGCATCGGTCTGCCAGGAGGAGGCGATTTTGCTTTGGGGTTTCTTTGTCTGCCCCCCCCCCAAATCAACTAAGTTGGCAAGTTATCTGTAACAGTTGGTCCATGGCTTATTCTTTTTTGAGTAACGTCACAGGATCTTTAACGTCCACCGTGATGGCTAATACTCCTGAATTATCAACCAGAGCGACAGCCGAACTCAATCTGCAAACATCGGCAACGAGAAAAATGGGCTGCTTGCCCAACAGGTTCCTTTTAAGTGTGCCCTTACCTGCAATAGGGATTCTACGCGTTCCCACGTAACCTGCTTATATGTTGGTCGTATGGTAGTCAAACCTAATTGTTTCATTCTCAGAGCTGTAACTTTTTTACATTTTAGTGCAAAACTCGCGTACAGTCATTGTCACCACATGGATTGCAGGAATGCGAGGGGTGGCAACAACTTGGAGACCTTTATCCAGCAGTGCAAAGAGCAAGTCTAATGATCACGGTGTGGTTGACTGGGTTAAGACCATCAACTCGTCACGTGTGATAACCCGGGTTATTCACGGGTGGCTGAAACCACAGATGCAAATGCAGGAGTCTCGGTAGCACCGGCCCGAAGACACCTCATCAAGTCACATTTTTTAAATGGCGTTAGCTTAATTTTTCACTAAAATGGAATAGAACGACGCACGTTTAAGTACAATAAATATTTAAAAATGATGAATGTGCAGGACTTGAGGCGGTTGTGATGCTACTAACTTGGCATTCATTGTGTTTTCTCGCCCTAGATATTCGGAGCTCTGGTGTGGATCATGATTGCGGCCACCAACGTGGTGTATGCCACGCAGCTGGCCCACGGATGGATCTTGTTCGTGTCGGTGACCCTGTGTTTTATTTCACTCGCCCAGTTCATCATATACCTTCTGTCCATCCCCCAGCAGACCTATGCCTGGGTGGCACTGGTGAGTAATGGATTTGGTTCACTTCGTCGTGATTGAGGATCAATGTGTTACATTCCATGCAATTGGTTTTGCCTGCAATTTTGGTGACAGTGGCTTTTGCTTACATTGTATCATCGTTTAGTATTGTTCATACTGCACCTCCCATGCAGTACATCAAAACAATGGGGTGTTTGAGATACATTAGAGACCAAGTACAATGTTCAAAATCAATATCGTATTTGTGATATACACATTAATGAGAATAAACACAATTGAGAGCTAAACCATGCTTGACAATATAGGAATAGCATTTATGACATTTAATGTCTTATTGTTTAAAAGTGTTATAATTAATTAATCATGTAAAATAATAATAATTGCCTTTAGCAGTAAAATAAACATAGCTATAACTCCGATTAATAGCTATGCACTTTAATGCACCGTATAATGGTGGTGAATCTATTGACGCACTGCAACTTCAAGTGGGTGACCTCGAATTTGATTTCCGTCCACAGCTCAGATCGGTGATGAGTGATGTCTGAACTGGTCCTGGGTGTCACCTTGACCGATCCGCTCTGGCCAGTGTGATGAGGCCCTCCCCCAGCCATAGGAGTCGTGGGGGAGTTTGTAAACCAACCTTCGCCACACTGGTCTGAGTTTTCCGCAGTGCCCACTGTGACACCTCGGCCTGCAATGATCCTGCAACATCTTGTTAAGGCTGATTGCCCATCCGAGCACTATTCAGGCTCAACCCTGCTTTTTCTTATTCTTCTGTTGAGGAATGACTGTTTCCTTTACTAGAATTCCCTCGCAGTGCTCTTTCCACTACTCCCTGTCCGTCGTTGCGCCTTTCAATTGAGACGGCTTCCATCCGGTCCAAGGTTTGATGTCCGGCCAGATCGTCGTCTCCCTCTTTCCCAAACACCTTCGAGTCTTCCCTCCATCACCATCCATTGCAGCCAGTCACCGTTAATTCTGGTAACGTGGCTGAAATATTGCAGTTTTCTATATTTGATCTTATCTTGATTCTTTGTCTGATAATGTATCCTTTTCAGGACTTAATTTTATTGTTGCAGGCTCTTCATAATTAATTTAAGATATTCTCCCGAAGGCTTCCATTTAGAAGGCTGCCTGTTTTTAGCGCCCGAGATCTGTTGAAACGAAGCACATTCTGGGTGATTTGGTCATGTCGTTTATGAATTGTATACAGAGATGCATACATACAAGGGGGCACCTGCCAATCGCGCCTGTCTGTATTTAAAATGGCGAAATTGTTTTTATTATGGGTTCGAATGTCACCCTTTTCACATCGACCCCGCACCTCCGATGAGCATGGTTGGCTAAGTACGGTGCGAACGGAGTTCAACATACATACACACGTAATCCTGAAAAAGAAATGTACAGCTCAATAGGTTATTTTTTATTCGGAAAATCAACTTCTGATTCTGAAACTTCTTTATACCCATCCGCAACTGTCAGAATGCATGGCTATAAAAATGTATGTGTTTATATACAAAATTATTATGCTTTATACATTTGAATATGTATGGTAATCTATCTTTTGTGACAAAAAAGCCTACATTTTTATTTAACACTATGGGCTTTTAGATTTTTAAAAGGCCCAATATTTTCATTTAAATATCTTTGTTCCATTGTCGTTATGTATTTTAACATTGAAATCACACTATAAAAATCCCTGATTACAGAAACAACTGAGCAATAGGTAAAAGTGAAAAGGTTGCGATAAGTGAATATCTGAAGAAAATTAGTTGCTCCTCGCACAAATAAATTACTGGATACTGGACAAGAAGTGCACATTTGAACAAAAACTTTACAGCACAGCACTTTAAAAGCAAGCGAAGGTACACAATATTAAGAATACATTACGAGTATAACTGCAACGCTGCTCATAATAACGTTTTTGTGGGTTGTATCGCGTTAGTATGAATGTGTTGGTAACCCACCAAGGTTTGTCACGCAAATAAAACGTTCCAATTAGTTACTACCTCAGCCCACCGGTGTGTTGGAGAGCAAATCCCCAACATTTAGAATTTGAGTAGTACCGTGACGTTTTGCTGGTAATTACATCCAGCAACATCGTGCGATTGTTGCCACAATTCTGGCAACACCGGGTGGTGGGCTGAAGTAGTCATGAATTGACACGTTTATAAATCCTTAATATTAAGTTTGCTTGCTTGCTTACGACCGTGCAAATCTTTCGGTCGTTTTTTAACCCACTTCCCGTGATCCAATCGAGCTGACATTTTCCACACAAACTCGTTGTGCATGACAATTAATGTTCGTGAAAATATTTTTCCAAAATTTTATACTTTTTAGGACAAATATTATATTTAATTACCAATTGCTTAATGGTGCAATGCAATCATCTGACCCATAGGTGGCAGCCATCTCAAGCCAGAGGACGAGAGGACTCTAGCCGCCACGCATATAAAGGATTTATAGTGAAAAACTTTTTTTTACGGGTTATAATTGTTTATTTTTTCCCTACTTGCCCACTCCCACTGGAACAAACTTCCCCTCCACATTAAGCAGCAAGCACGCTCCCTGTCTCGTTTCTGCTCATCCCTCAATACCCACCTCTTCTCCCTGGCTCATCATCCTTCCCTCTCTCCCTAGGTACACCCGTAATTCCCATACCCACCAACCTCTCTCCCCATACCCCATCCCAATTGGCCATATCACTTCCAGCTACCCTCATTGAACCACGCATAACCCTTGTAAAGCGCCTTGGATAAAGGTGCTTTATAATATACTAGCGGGAAGTACCCGGCGTTGCCCAGGCGAAAAATATATTTCAAAAACTTCTCTTAAAAACCTTACATATACATAGATAGTAAGCTATTGTGAAAGCCCGGTGGGCCGTTTGTCTATTTCTCCACCAACAAAATATAAGAGGCTTGCACAAGTCCAAAAAGTGCTAGAAAGTGGGAGGTAAATAGTTGACCTTAAAGGTTTCCCGAAAATTGTCGACCCTCCCCCCTCAAAAAATATTTTTACCCCCACGTAGGTATATATACCTACACACCCTACATACAACAGAGTAAGTAGTATCTACTGATTGTACAGTAGTATCTACTGAGCCAGTAGTAGCTACTGACTGTGTAGTAGTATTTACTTATTGTAGCAGTAATGACTGACCGTAGTAGTATTTACTGACCCTACAGTAGTATCTACCAACTCTACAGTAGTAACGACTAACTGTATAGTAGTATCCACTGACTATAGTAGTAACTACTAACTCTATAGCAGTATCTACTCTATAGTAGTAACTACTAACTCTATAGCAGTATCTACTGACTATAGTAGCTACCGACCATAGTAGTATGTACTGACTGTATAGTAGTATATACTCACTGTATCAGTATTGACTGACTGTAGTGGTATATACTGACTGTTTTAGTATCTACTAACTCTATATAGCAGTATCTACCAACTCGATAGCAGTATCTACTATCACTACAGCAGTGCATACTGTGGTGGTACCTGCTATGATTACAGCAGTGCATACTGTGGTGGTACCTGCTATGATTACAGCAGTGCATACTGTGGTGGTACCTGCTATGATTATAGCAGTGCATAGTGACTATGGTACCTGCTATGATTACAGCAGTGGATACTGACTGTGGTGGCACCTGCTATGATTAGAGCAGTGCATGCTGTGGTGGTATCTGGTTTCATTACACCTGCTCATGATTATTAATGAGGGGGGCTGTTCGATGTGGAGTGACGTCACTTGCTCATGATTATTAGTGAGGGGGGGGGGGAGTACCCCATATTGAGTGACGTCACCCACTCATGATTATTAATGAGGGGTGGGGGGGGGGTGTCCATTTGGAGGATGTCACCTGCTCATGAATATTAATGAGGGGGCTGGTCGATGTGGAGTGACGTCACGAGCGCTAAGGACAGATATTCCTGGGTGATTATTATCAATGTCAAAGACAAAAATTGCACACTGCATTAAACATGGGGGGAAATGCTGTACGTCCTGCTCTGTACATTAGAAGCAAGCAAATATATGCGGGGGGGAATTGAGAATGCAGGAAAACTGCTCCTATCTGCAGTAATATGGTGTACCAATATATCACGGTTCATCTTAACCCGTGGGGTTATCCGTGATTTTATTCTTCTTATCTGTGGGGTAAGAATTTGCAGGTAACCCATGGATAGTAGGTTAGGGGAGTGAAACAAAAATTGCAGCTAATAGGAGTTTTTGTAGATCCTATAGCTGCCGTGGTTAATATTGGTTACGGATAATAAGGCTGAGGATAAGCGTTCTCCTCTACCGTATGTGAAAAGGTCGCATTTGTGGACATCGTTTGCAAATTACGATTACACCATGCACTTACTGATTTGGGGGGAGGAGGGGGGGGGGCATTGACCAGAGCATATAAAAGTCATGTATGCCTCAACGTTTTTTTCTCTTTTATAGGATGCTGCCTACAATTCCATGGCATTTCTGTTGTACTTCAGCGCAGCGGTGCTTCAAGTTTATTTAACAGCAAGCATAGGGCAACTCCCTATATCGCTTTCGCCAAATTTCAGAATGTATCAGCTCAACATCGCCGCAACAGTGAGTAATGTATTTACTTGTGTTTTATTACAATGAGAGGTTGAAGTGTAAATGGTGAGAATGTGAAAAACAAATAATTGTTGAATGATGTCACGAGACACATTGACTCGTTTCAATCAAAAACAAATAAAATTCCTACCTTTTTAGTTCGGTGCTCTTCATACACTAAAGTGTTGTTTTCAAGGCACTGCTGGTTACACACGGTGCGAAATAAGTTCAACATACATACAGAATATAACCCTCTGTGAGTTGCTCATTATTTTGTATTGACTTCACACTGAAGTTGAAACTACATGCACGGTATTGTTTTATATAGTTTTTATTTTATTTTATTATTTCCCTTCTAAGTAACTTTACCGAAAGAACCAAGAATGACGCCATCTGGTCCAACCCATGTGAGACTAGGCTCTAAGGAAAGCTGTCTCGGGTGTGGACCAATCAACTTCAAGGACAGTGCACATTATCAGAGTTATGTTCTTTTGTTTGTATTATGACTGCAGGTATTGCGGTCTATGCAAACATGACTCCTTGTAAAAAGGTGTCAGTTTTGTTGCCAAATAGAAGGGTAAAAAACCAATTATAATATTTTTACTGGCAAATGAGGTTCCCATGGTATTATTGTAATTGTTTTTATTTGCACATACGTATTGTTACAACCTGGCATTGTATAGCCAGAGTGCCATTTTATGGTCGTACCAGTTGACCGAAGTGATCTCCATATTTGTCTGCTCCAGGTGTTCATTTTCATCGTGACCGCCCTTTATGGAGCCAGTTCCTTCATCAGCCTCAAACGGTGGAAGAATCGTCAGCCATAAACAGGACAACATGTGCTCGAGAAGGATTTGTGGACCATCGTCTGCTTCAAAACTGGATGTGCTTTTGTCTTTTTTTTTTATAAATTTTTTAATTGTTGTATACGTAACTACAGTTTTAAATTGTTACAAATTTACTTGTAAAACGTGTAACTTGTTTTTTTTTCCCATTGCCTGTCATTTCTGCATTTCTATCAAGTTTTATGATTACAATTTTAAGGGGTTTTTATTTCATCAAAATTTTCGCTGTCTTTTGCCATAATAGTAAGCTGGCTTGAATCTGTAATGCACAGAGGCTTGCTGAAATCGGTGGTATGTTTCAAATCTACACGTTTATATAGAGGGAGAAGTAATTGGAGTGGAGTGCTGCGTAATTGTTGTGGCATTTTTTGTTGTTCCGCACCAGATAGAGGTTGTCAAGCCAGCATAAATAACTTATGTGTCCTAGATGCCCTTGATGATCAGTGGGTTAAATAACGCACATTTGTTTTACACCGGTAACTCTTTGGAGACCGACCTTCCTGTGTATTGGACCTTACTCTCCTTGCCATCTCCAATGCACTGCATACTCTCAAGTCCTTCCGAAATCTTTATTGAGTGGGATATTTTACCCAAAGTTATCTGGTAAAGTGTTTTTCCAGGGTAGACAGCCCCAATATAGAAGTAACGTGTGATTGATGAAATGGTATATATTTTTTACGATAGCCAAGTCCTTTAATAAACCTCGTGGATTAATTTCATTTCGCTGTATTTAATTTGTTTACTCTGAGTTTAGTTTTACCAAATGCTCGAAATGAACATTTTCCCATTCTAAAACGTATTCATTCTACAGCTCATGTTGATTGCAATTTCCCCTCTTCAGAAACATCGTAGTCCATATAGGAGTTGGAAGAGTTCTAAACAGTGCCGCTATACACGTTTGGTGTACAACGAAGTGCCCGTATTGCAAACTATTTTGACTACCGGTTTAAACATTATTGCAAGTGACACTTGCATTTGTAAATCAGATTAATCTGCCCTGGATATGAATTTTTTTTTATTTACAATGCCAGGGTAGTGCAACTTAGTACAGTACTTGAATGGGAGACTGCTGATCACCAGGTGTTGTAAAGTTGAGCCTCGCTGCTGGGTGGGCCAGGTGGTACAGCAATTGCTTCCTTGAGTCTCTCCATGCGGAGCTCTGAGTGTCGCCCCCTCCTGTACTTGGTGGGTTTTCTCCGAGTTCTGAGTTTGTCCCACAAGAAGCTAAACACTCATTATAGGAATTGGCCAAAGATGTGTCATAAGACCCTCTCTGAAAAAATAAGTGTTTTAATTCAGTAAATCCGAATCAAAATCTTTATTTTAGATTGGAGGAATCTGATGAGCTATGAAGCTGTTTAAAAAAAATAGATTTCCAGTAGGTGTGGGTCAAAAAGTTACAACAAAAAAACAATACAACAACCGATAAGAGTGCAAAGTATAGGAAAGGTAAGCAAGTCCTTAAAAATAAATAAATGAAAAGAAAGCATACGTACAAATTGCTAAAGTATATCAATTGAAGCGTTCATTCCCAGGGTGTACAATGCTTTGTTCATTTTAGTTGCAAGTACATATTTCACTTGCGGGCAAAATCTCCTGTTACATGTTGCATTATTTCTAATTATATGTCAATCTGTTTAACACAGAGGCTTTCGTGACCAATATCATCCATTATAGAAGTTTTTGGGTTAGATCACGTAAATATGTAAATGTGTCGTTAAAACCCACCACCACCCGACACAAGCAACTAGTAAGGGTTGTCACGCAAACAGAACATGCCAATTCGTCACTAGCACAGCACACCGGTGTGTTGGAGAGCCAAGCCACAGCATTTTGTAAATATTTGTCAATCTTCTTGGTTCTTTCGGTAAAGTCGCGTAGAAGGGAAATAATGAAATAATATGAATATAAAACTATAAAAATTCTCACGACGTTTCGACTGCAACACAAGCAATCCTCATCAGGTGTGAAATCCACAGCAAGAAAATTCTTGCTGTGGATTTCACATATTTATATTATTTCATTATTTCCCTTCTACGTGACTTTACCGAAAGAACCAAGAATATGAATCCCTGCAGTCACGAAAGCTTTAAATCAAAGTTTGTCAATCTGTTAATGGGTTGCGGGCTGCCTAGGGCGATGTGGGTCACAGCATCGTTTGACTGCTCTTCACCACGCTGGTGAGTGTGTGTGTGTGTTGGTGAAAAGCCTGTTTTAGCTCCCTCCCACTGGACATGTGATGAATCGAAAATGCATTTTCTACATGCGATTTTTTTTTACTTCTGTCAGATCGATTTGTGATTTGTTCTTGGAAAATGTGTGCCTGTACCATTGTATACACTTGCATATCAATCGTATTTACACTGGTCATACACCGACACAACAGGAGATGTTTTGTTCAAATGGGATATTTTGTGTCTCTTGTCCCCAAATCTTAGTTTTACACAGGATCTGAGTGAATGAATTTGTGTGTTTGTGGTAACAATTGGGACCATACAATACTGTTAATATTGTATACGCACTGCGTAATGGAATGACACCACAATTCTCTTAAGTCCAATTTATAAAATGATTTCACGTTTTTATCAACATGGGCCTGCAGTCAATGCTCTATTGATATCAATTGTTGAGTTGCCCTTATTTTAAAATATTTAGATTATTTTTTCCTTACATAGCATTGTCTTCATTTAAAATGGTAAACAATGTTATTGTGAGACTTAAACATTAATTTGCTGTTGGGTGCTTGAAGCAATGCTGACGATCAAGCCGTTTGTTCCATGTCACAGCTATGCTCTGCTAAAATCGGTGAATTTTAACCAGTATAATGGTTAAAGTCTCTTGAAGAAAGATATCACTTGCCAAGGAACATTGGTTGACATTCAAACACCTCCACAAACGCTGGTCCATAAGTGACGACGCAAAAAGCCCACATTGTTTGGCAATTGCTGACCCCTGGACACCCTGGAAAGTGGGATGTTCTATCTCTCCAAATATGTTTTGGGTAAAATAGTTTAGGACATGAAAAACAAAACCATGGTCTCAAGTCTCATTGTGGGACAACATTCCATCACTGTTCTGTACAAAATTGTGGCTACTTTGTCATATAAGCTCTGGCAGTAAAGTCACCATATTGTGTTATATGTCCTTTATTTTTGCAGTACTTCAGAAAAAATAACCACTTTATCAGCCTTTCAATGTTGTGAAATGTTGTATCCGTTCGGCAGTGCATTGGTAAAGGGCTGTACGTTAATGTAATTGTTTGGTTTAATAGGTGTGTGCACATGTTGTTGATAGGTGGCGCTACAGCCTTGCGTATTTTACAGTCGAGGCAAATGCATTCACAGGTGACAAGCAAGTGATCTATGGCCGTGCAGGTTATTCAACAAACCGCAGTGAATCAACAAACAGCATTGAACAACTTTCATAGGTGTACATTTATCTTACTCAAATGAACGGTCAAATTGTGTTTATGTATAACTGATGCTATAAAATGAATACCACCATTTACAAAACCACAAGTGTGGGTTGGGATCACTGTAAAAAGGAAAATTCACTGATGGTTGTGTGCTCTGGTCATTATCTATAGCAACAATAAAAACAGTTGTTGAAACTGTATTCAGTTATTGTGCTATTCGCGCCATACATTTACATAACTTGCCATGTCTGGCCTGCTGAGTAAAGGGGCAGTATTGCCAACTTGGTGACTTTTGGTACAAGGACCCGATGCAGCTTTCGGAGTTGCGATTCCAGGCTGCCAGCATCCTCTTCCGTGGACCGTTCTCAATAAGAGTTGCAATACTGCACTGCGAGATATCCAAATGGATACTTCACCTTATTGCAAAAACAACACAGTTGTGTGTGCTACCGGTGTGACGTCATCGTTGTTTTTTTAATTGACTTGCTATTTTATGTACGAGTTCACTGAAGCGGTCAACTTGGAAACTTTTATACGAGGGAGTACACACGTTTTCTTTGCCAAATGGTGGGGGGGGGGACACTTTAGAGCATACAGTATTCTCCACCTTATTTTGGTCCCACACATGTGGCTGGCACTTGTGGAAACGCTCGGATACAGTGAATTGCTCGCGTTCGACAGTTTTTTTTCAGACGTGGCTAATGTTCTTAAGATGGTTGTGGGTATTTTGAGGACAACTGTGGCAAAGCGGCTACAAACTTGGCTAGGGACACATCAATACATTTTTCTTTCATAGTTTTAAAAGGATGCAATTCAAGGATTCAAAAATGTGGAATTTGAACGCGCTCGTGCTGTTCAAATAACAATGAGATCAGGCGGCTCTGAGATCGTGGTTTAATTTTGAGGCAGCTGCCTGTGATTAAAATTGATTCTCAAGCGGAGTGGGTTGATGGTCTCGGCCTGGTGACAAATACTTGCACGCATTTCTATAATTAGTTGTGGTTTTGCATTTAATTTGGTGAACTTCCAAGTGAGAATTAAAACGTTTTTTTAAATTAATGGGATAAACGTGTATATTGGCAGAGTCGGTGGGAAATTGCGTCTCTCTCTTCTGTGTAGATTAGGTTACTTGAAGGGACAGCAGAGCTACCTCTGATATCTGCTTCCGTGGGACATTCTCGCATGAAGAGTGGCACTTTCATGCGAGAGATCCGAATGCATATTTAATCTCATGACATCATGTCCGGTAGCACGATGTGGAACAAATATACCCAAAATTATCTGATATTGACATTATAAAAGTGTTCTGCTCTTAAAAGTGCATTTGCAAGAGCAGCCCATTTGACCCATAAATTACCCAGAATGTTTTTACCTTACTTTAAACCCAACACACGGACAGATTTTAAAAATAAGCCCTTTCCCTTTGCAGAAAGCTGAAGTCAAAGGAAAAGTGTATCTCCATACGTAAATGAGCATTTGGTGGTTTACATCTCTGTTGGTGGTCCCGAACCAGTGATGGGAATTCCAGCGATTAAATTGCACATTCAATCTTTGTTGTCCCATCGAGAGCAATGGCTATTGGATAGGAATGTCCTGTTTCGCCACTTATCAGAAGTGAAGGAAGGACGTCACTGGAAATGGCATGCACCTGCAGTGACTTTGTGAAACATATGTTAGAAATGAAATAAGTGTTCCCACCCTTTTTTGTTTGAAATTGAATACAAAGTAAATACACACAAGCCGTAAGTTTAAATAAAAGCAGACTTCCTGTACCGCTTTCCTTTGCACAGTCGTCCAGGTTTATAAAATGATTCGTTCCAAACTCTGACGTGAGCCACAGTGTGTCCAGCCGAATGTTTTCCCTTTTTACCCAATTATTTTTGGTCAACCAATGCACGTGGAAATAATTTGGAAGTGAACACTTTCTGGAACGTTTAAAGAGTCAACAAAATGCGGAATGTTTCATTTCCTCTTCTGAAATCCTGTTTTTATTTTGTTTTCTAGATTTTTTAAATACGATTTGGCATGAGACTTGATAACAGTAAGATATATTATGAGAACGTGCTAATTTACACGTCGTTTTCAGTTTTTTTTTTTTTTATCCCGAAGTCATATGTTACATAAAAAACATTGAAAAATAATGTATGGTACATTAACAGTTATACTGTAAGCCACATAACTTATTTTCATGAAGTTGTTAAATTATACAACATGCAATGTTCTTGGAGAAATATAAACACGTGCAGTATACGCAACGTAAAAATGTTGAATTAAATTTAATATTTTATATATATTCACGAAGCAATGTTTTGAATGGTTTTATGAGCTTTTTTTTGGACATTACCAATATATTGTTGCTTGTTATTTCATATTTCTATTACCATGTTACTTGCAATGTGCCAGAACTTGTCTGGATAGTACCTGCATGGGTGGCCACCACTGCACAAACAACAGGTTGCCATCGGTGGCAGCAGGGCCATGCTACATCATGGGTAGCAGAGAGCAGTGCAGAACATGCCATTGTTGTTGTGCTGTACGTCGACTGCTGTTGGACATCTGCGCTCCCTCTGCATTCACCCAACTCGCACCGACCAGCATGAGAAAGTATGGTCAACTAACCCCCATAATCCACACCGTGTGGGGGGAGTACCTTAACCGGTAGTCGAGCAACCAAATGGCTGTACACATACACACGTGCAAATCAGAGTTGTGTTCTCAAACCCTCTCCACATTCCACCGTACATTTCTGACAAAAAATCCTCCAGAACCTTGCTTTTGATCATAATAAATGCATCTCATTGTGGCCTCTGACCCTCTATACTTTGAACTTGGGCAATGAAAATCCCCATGGGTTTTACAGCGGGTTTCTTATTTTGGATTCATTTCAGGTTCTCATACATGGTAAGGAAGCAATTATAAATTCTCCTTTTTTTTCCAGTGGCACGCAACTTTACAATTTGTTCACATTTTGTTTGCCATGTGTTCTTAAGAATGTTTATAACATAGATGCTGTACTTAAAACCAAAAACAGACTGCTTAATTGCACACCTAGAAAAACCACTGCCATTTCTAATTCAAGGAATCCAATTAAATACGATTGAGCCTTGCCATAGGAAATCACGTTTCTTTTTAATATTTGTAAAAGCACGCTGTAACAACATGAAATATCAAATGTTTTTTTGGCCCGATGTTTTTGGCCCCACGTGCTGGTTGCTTCTTTGGGGTCCCACTGGAGAGCTTCATATCTCGCCACTAAAAGACGTATATGTTGTCCATCAATGGTTTCCTCATTTAAGGAAATGCTGCAGTATTATATTGGCATGCAAAACCAATGGGCATATTGTTTATAAAACATTTCACTTTGATATGGTGAGTCAAATAAGAGTACACTGCCCATCAGAAACGCGTGTGTTTTTATCCAATAAAGTAGAGTTGGTTTTACTCTACTTGAAAACTGGTCAAGGAAATATCTCCATGAGTACTTGTCCTTCTGTTGTAGTTGTGTGCAGTGACATTATCTTCACATCTTTGTAAAACGTGCCTGGAAATACACTATTTGGTTCTAGAATTATATTACGGACGGCAGAAATGCTGTATTTTAAGAGAATGTGGCCCATTTTTGGCAGAGATAGCAAAATTTAAAGGCAAGATTACAAATGTCCCATCCCAGTTCAATCCATCAGTCCCCTGATATATATTTGAGTATATCATACATTCTGAGCGTTTATGTTGCAGCATCCACAACACCTTCTCCTGTCCAGTATTGAACGATACGGTGGGTTGAGCCTTATTAGATGTTGGATGGGAGACTGCCTGGGAATACCAGGTATTACAGGCTTGGGTTTCAAGGTGGCCAGGAGATACTAGTCCATCAATGGATTCTTGATTCAATCGGGTAGATATTTTATTGCTTCCTGGTACTCGCACATTTCAAACACTCATTAATGGAATTGATATTGGACCCTTCTGAAATGTTTTAAAGCCATAGTTAGGCGTTCGTGGTTAAAGAAAGAATAAATGGCATTATTTATAGTAGTACTCTCCATAACGCAGTTGAAATATTAATAACATTTTCCACAAAAATTAATATTACAAAAACATAACAAGCTGCATTACAACATAATGAAAATACATTTTATTACCGAGGAAAAGCTTGAGTTAAGTCTCGGAAGAAAAATACAGTTGTCTGACTTTGGAAATGTTTGGCAATTTCTTAACGAGTGTTTTTGTAAGTGGGAGGAAACTGGAGTACCCAGAGAAAACCCAAACGTGCGATGAGATTGTGGCAATTAACATGTCACAGTGCGAAATGTACACGCTTTATAATGGTTAATGCATTGTTTCATAAACTGTTGAAGTCCCTTTAACAAATATTCGTCGCAAAATGTTGCCAACGAGTCGGTTCATTTGTGGATGACAATTTTGTTTAAAAAAAAAAATGTTCGAAAGCAGACAATTTATTTTAATTATTTAATTGCAAGCGACAGCTGTTCGTGTTAAATAAATAACTGGGTGAATAACAGCACACATGCATCCATGAATAAACAAACACGCCAGTTGTGTACATTTCACGCCGTATAGAGGCGTGCCTGTTTTAAGTCCTATGTGATATGATATGAAGTCGACCCACGAATGTTTTGCAACATTTTACATTTCTCCTGGAGCATTCACGGCCTCTTTCAGAAGGGTCTTTGACGGTCAACGGCACTTCCAGGAATGCCAGTCATTGCAGCTCGTTCCAACACACAGGAGGGGGGTCTATCGGTGGCAATAGCAGCCCCTACCCAAGCACCAGCGAGGCTGCATTGGGGTGGGTAGTAAGTGCACCATACGAATTTCCTTCAAAGGTAATTGATATTGCTTATCCTTGATTCCGTGCGTGAAAGAGGGGAGTGTGTGTGGGGTTTTTTTTTTTGCTGCACAGGGCGCGGAGAGCTGCTTGCGTGTTTAAAAATAAAAGCGTCGCATAAAAGGGATCCAGGCATTTATTAAATTAATTGGTAAAATTCGAAGAATGCTAATTTGTTTGGAGGTAATTTGTTACGTTAGTGACTGTGAAGTTGGAGCTGTTTGGACAAGTTTATACATTCGGTCTGAATAACATAGTTTAAGCTAAACTTTAAAAAATCTAAGGAGCAAATTCGTGTGTGAGACAGATTGATAACATTACAAGCCATTGTTTAGGTTAATCGCAC